ATGATATACCACACAAACATACAAACAAACATACAGACATACATACATACATACAGACATGCATAAGCAAACATAACGGTACAAACACATATATGCCACACAAACATACAAACAAACAAACAAACAAACACACATACATACAAACAAACATATACACATACATACAAACAAACATACAAACAATTACACATACATACAAACAAACATATACACATACATACAAACAAACATACAAACATCGTTAACTTCGAGCTGCATGTCGTTAATATTGGTGTCTGTGTTTAACTTGTCGACTAACTGTTTTGATAAAGAAATAGAAGATGTTTAAAAATTAATCATTATCACCATCATCATCGTCACCATCATCATCACAATCGTCATCATCATCATCGTTATCGTCATCATCATCATCACAATCGTCATCATCATCATCATCATCATCTTCATCACCATCATCATCACAATCATCATCACAATCGTCATCATCATCATCACAATCGTCATCATCATCATCATCTTCATCATCATCATCACAATCGTCATCATCATCATCATCACAATCGTCATCATCATCATCGTCGTCGTCGTCATCATCATCATCATCATCACAAACAGTGTTGTAGTCCCCCAATTCACCACGCAAGGTTTCCAACTCCTGAGCTAAAGATTCGGCTCTGTAAGAAGTTGGCACGGTGATGATAACGATTGTAATGATCATGATGATGATGAGGATGATTGCGATGATGATGATGATAGTGATAGTGATGGTGTTGGTGATGATGATGTTGATGACGGATTAACCAATCAATCAACCAACCAGCCAACCAGCCAGCCAGCCAATCAACCAATACATCAACCAATCAATTAATCAACCAACCAACCCACCCACCAAACCTCTTCTCATAAGAAACATAGCTCGATTGTCACCGGAAACGGAAGTAGTTTCTGCTTTCATTTTTGCTATTTCCGTCGTTAGATCGTTTATTTTGTTTCTTTGGTAACAGTGAAGATGACGGTGGAGGTGATGGTGACAATGATGATAATGATGTTTACGATGATGATGATGATTTTAATGATGACAATGACGTCATAACGAACCTCAAAACGCCAAGGAAGTACGTCTTATCTTGAACCATTCGCTGGTTGCCTAGTAAAGTATACCATCATCATCATCATCAACATCGTCATCACCGTCATAATCATCATCATCGCCATCATCATCATCGTCATCATCATCATCATCATCACCTTTATTGGTGGTGGTCTTCAAACCGCCCAAACCTTGTTGTGTGACAGGCCTATCGGAAACTTGCACTTGAGACAAGAGGGCTAATTAATTGGTTGATTAATTAATTAACTGATGAGATATTAACGAGATAATTAATATTAATGAGGTAATTAATATTAATGAGGTAATTAATATTAATGAGCTAATTAGTATTCTGCTTAAGCGACGAGTACAGCGAAATATCGTTCGAGATTTACGTTTGTATTCGTTGTAAAACAAATCCAAGGATAATTAATATTCATGAGGTAGTATCAATTACTTAATATTCATGAGTTAATTAATTATTCATGAGCTAACCCATTCCAGTTCCTATAACTCCGCCCCTTGTCCCTGGCCTAGGGATTCCCTGAACCTTAAATTATGATGATGATGAGGATGGTGATGATGATGATGATGACTGGGTCAAGATGATGATGGTAATGATGGTAATCATGATCGTGATGACTGAAAAATGTGGCTATAAATAATTTATCCATCCACTCGTCTTATTTTAAGATGATGATGAAGATGATGATGGTGCGAATAAAATACTGTTAATAATAATTATTATTAGTATTGTTGTTGTGTTGTTGTTGTGTTGTTGTTTGAAAAAATTCATAACAATAATCATACAGCTCCAGTTTTCAGTCTCGAGGCAGTCCCCAGAGGTACATTGCCTTGTCGTAAAATTATGCCAGAAATTATTTTTATAATATTCATTTTTTATTCATATTTATTTTATAACTTAGATTCCAGATGGCGCCTGAGGCTGGAGCGCCAAGCTTTGCGTGGTTATCATATATTTAATTAATTGATAATTTTTTTTATATAATAATAATTCTGATATATTTTATTACATTTTATGTTTTATTTATGAAATTTATTTTCATAAATTATTAAATTTCTTCACCAGGTGTCAGTTTAGAGCCGGCATTGCTACCGGGACGGATATTCCTGATTTGATGAATGAATGAACGAATGATTGAATGAATGAATGAACGAATGATTGAATGAATGAATGAACGAATTAATGAATGAATGAAGAACATAACATAATATAACAAAGATTTTTTATAGTGATCCAAGAAGACTGAGTCTGTGACAAGACCACTCCGAAACATTTTTTTAATTATCCTACTTTTGCCAAGTTTACTTTAAAGTTGTTAGTTGTTTCTGCGCATGTTATTTCATCCACAAGTTTCTTCCACTCGTTGACAACTCTGCAGCTGAAAAATGTTTGCTTCATCGAGCCCGAGCTTTTTTTAAAGACCTTATATTTATGCCCCTTGTTTTACTTTTCGTCTTAAGCCTAATAAAATTTGCTGATTCCAAATTCTTCTTCATAGTAATGATTTTGTATGCCTGAATAAAAAATCTCCTCTTGTTCTTTTTTTTTCTAATGTTGTCAATCCACTCAAACTTTTAATCTGTCTTCATATGGCCTTTACATTTTTTAGTGGTGTGTCTCCAAGTTTGAATACGTTTGCCTCGTTGTTCGCTCCCATATGTATGACTGCACATTTGTTAGTGTTGAATACCGTCTGCCAATCCTCTGCTCATTTGCATATCTTTTGCAAATCGCCTACTAGAATTTCAACATCTTCATCGTTGTCTACAACAGCACATGATTTAGTGTCATCTGCAAATTTTGAAATTTTTAACTTTATTCCTAGACCAATATCACTGATATATCTTTCATTATATTTATCCAAAGCCGCTTCTTTATTCATCTTAATGCATAACATATTCAGGAACCAACTTGTTCATTGTTTCCAACCTTGCTGCACTCCTACTGCTTCAATTGGTATAGCCAGGTTTAATTCCCAGAGTTTAATTTTTATTTGGCAATAGTTTGCGTTAAAATAATTGAACCTATTCCATTAGTTGTTAATTTGATTGGTTTGTTCTTATTTTAACTTAAATTTTATCATTTGATGGTCACTGGATTAAAAGTGTTCCTCAACTTTAACATTCTGGACATGGTTATCATTGGAAGAGATAACTAAGTCTAGAATATTGCTTCAATGGAGCAACTTGAATGAATGAACGAATGAATGAACGAATGGTTGAACGAATGAATGAACGAATAGATAATAAAATGAATAATGAACTTATATTATAATTATATTGTATTAATAACTAAATATTTGCTCTAACTTCTAACTAATTCTAATGATATTATATTGTATTAATAACTAAATATTTGCTCTAACTTCTAACTAATTCTAATGAAAATTTCAAAACATTTTATCAATAAGCAAACACATCAAATAAATATTTACATACATTTTCAAGTTTGATTAATTCAATTAATTAACTAATCAATTAGTTAACTAATCAATTAATTAACCAATCAATTAATTAACTTATCAATTAATACGAAAAATAATAAATGTTATTGTTAATATAAATTTAAATGGCCGTTGCTAATG